ACTCCCGCACTACTCGGATTAGGAGTCTGTCCTTTTGGGTCACAGCTCAGTTTCTTATGTAAGTTACGCGGCAGCAGGGGCAGTAAGTAGGGTGACAGCTGGGGAGGACCCCATTAATAGGCGGTCTTCTGGCTGTGCAGCCTTCCCGGAGGTGGGGGTGGGGTGGGCTGAGGTGGATGTTTTTTACCCTTCATTCATTGCAATAGGGACAGAGGAGAATCCTGGGGTAGAAACTCTTGAGAAACCCCGCGTTTATGCACCTAAGTGCTCTTTGCTGGGGAGAGAGCTCCTAGCTTCATCGTGTTCTCAAAGAGGCCCCAACTTCTAAAACGTTTGTTATCACTGCCACAGGTCAGGCAGGCACACAGGTTCCCGCTGAGCAATTTCTCACCAGTCCCAGAGACACGGCCCTAGAGCCTTGTTGCTTTGTACCCGCATAGATTGCCTGCCTACTTCGGATTTATTTAAGGAAGTAAGAGTTAAATGTATTTGTCCCAGATAATAGGTTAACGTTTCATAGCAGAGTTGATCATAATTCAGTAGTCAACTGATCAAAGATTTTATTCTCTTCCTTTTTATTTTTTTTTAATTTATTTTATGTTTTGCCATGGGTGTCAGGTCCCTTGGAACTGGAGTTACAGACAGTTGTGAGCTGCCATGTGGGTGCTGGGAATTGAACCCGGGTCCTCTGGAAGAACAGTCAGTGCTCTTAACCACTGAGCCATCTCTCCAGTCCCTTAACTCTCTTCTTTTTAAAAAGTTTTTTTTTTTTTTTAAAGATTTATTTTATGCATATGATTGTTTTGCCTGCATGTATGTCTGCGCACTACCTGCATTCCTGGTGTTCAGGACTGTGAGCCACTGTGTGGAACTGAACCTGGTCCTCTGCAAGAGCAACAAGTGCTCCTAACCCCTGAGTTAGCTCCACCCTCCCCCCCCCCAGGTGAGGCCTGAACCCAAGGCCTTGCCCTCCACAGGCCTGCCTTTACCACTGGGCTCAAATCCCTAACCCCACTTTTTTCTTTCTTGTTAACCATAGACTCACACTCTTCCAGTTGCCAGCCCCCACTGAAGAACTGGCTGGCAAGTTCTTTGCTTGGCATGTCCCATTTGGAATGTGGTACTGAGAATGGGGCATGATGTTACCATAGAGAACAGTGTAGGTACCGCCTTCCTCAAATCTAGGTACTATGCTGTTTTTGTTTTTCTGACTGTGACCCAAGATGCCCTTGGTCTCCTAATATATGCTGTAATACAGCATTTAGTAGTTTAAACAAAACCAGCCTTTGATACTAAGATGCTTGTGGGCACCACTTTGGTCTTTGTGTTAACGTTTTATTTCATTCAAGACTTGATTTGGTATTAATTTACATGTTCCATACCCATTTAAAAATCGGTTTTAAGGTAGTATTTGTGAGTTATTTTGTGACATCTTCTATTTGGATGATTAATTGGTGCTGCGTTTTCTAATGAACATACTTTTACTATCTTTGTAGACCCTTATGTCAAACTTCTACTAGATGCTATGAAACACTCAGGCTGGTAAGTAAATCTTTTTTTTAAATGTCACTGAATATTCTGGAGCCCCCAGAACTAAGATTACAGAACTATTCTACTTTGGAACACAAAGCCTTCTCGGTCCACAATGGCAGGCTGCGTGTCCTCCAGGCTGGCCTTGTTCTCTTCAGCTGTCTTTTGTCCTGGCCCAGTCTCTGGTTCTACTGTTCACTCTGAATATTAGTAAAGGCAATATTTACAGTTCGTCCTGAAAGTAATTCCCAAACTTGGCCCTTCTATTCCTCCAGCCTAGGACACTGTGGTGAAGAAACCTTAACTCGGATTAATTAGTAGGAGGCTTCTAGATACTAACTCAGAGTGGATTAGGGGAAATGACTTCTGATAGCTACTTTTTAATGCCCTGGCCCAAAGGAAGGACTCCATCATATTTGCAGTGCGGTCCTAGTCATGCCTTGATAGATTCCTTAAAGAGTGCGAAGTAGTATGGAGCCTTCAGGTATGATCTCTTTTATTCTACAGGCGAGAGCCCTGGCTGTGTTAAATGGCTTGCCAGGCTCTGTAGGTGTTAGTGGTGGAAGGGCTATGCCATGTGGTCCAGGGTGTCCTGGCCAGGACTTGTTGTAGAATATTATTTTAAGGTGCATTACTTCTGTTTATGTTTTGGAAACTTTGTTTAATGATGCAAAGATGTATTTGATTAAATAAAACTCGCCTGCTGTCAGGAGGCTGGACCAGCAACTAGCTGACAGGAAGTGGTGAGGAGCCAGGTGGAGAAGGGTTTATAGAGTGTTCTGGAGATATGAGAGAAGGAGAGGTGGTGAGATGCTTGCTATTCAGCCTCTCTTGAGGAGCAGAATTCCACCTCAGCCTTTGAATCTTGAGTTCTTTGGAGGGACAGAGATTTAGGTGAATTCCCTTCCTATCGGTGAAACAGTCGGTGTCTGAGGGGACAGAATTCCCTCAGGCTGCAGCTCTTGAGGCTTCACTGCTGCAGATATTGCAGAGTTGCAGTTGCTGATTTGGACAGCGTGGAGTAAAAGGCAGAAACAATTTAAAAAGAGGACAAGGGTTGATTCCTTCATACGCTTACATCTCCCCATGCTCCACAGTACTGTTAACAAAGGGAGACACTTTTCTTGCGAAGACTGTGATGGAAACGTCAGCGGAGGGTTTGACGCTTCAACGTCTCAGGTGGGTGTCTTTGCTGAATTGTGTTCATCCCTTTACTCCCTCCCGATACTTGCCGAACACGTTCCACATACTGGGTGTTCTATTTGGTAGACTTTGCATAGTACTTAAAAACAAAAAAATCAGTCGTGGTCCTTAATGTTACTCTTGTGAAGGAGGTAAGACACGAACTCCTTAAACAGTAAATTTGAGAATTTGAGCAAGTAGGATATTCGGTGTAGTAACTCTCTGTTCCTGCAACAAGTGGCTGAGAAATTGAACTCATAAGGAGGAATGAGTTATTTCTGCTCATGGTGTCAGCCCGTGGTCACTCGACCCCTTTGCCTTTGTGGCGTGTGTTAAGTCAGAACTTCATAGTGGGACTATATTTATGGGCATCAAGGTCACCATAGCTCCCTCATGCTCAGTGATTTAACTTCCTTCTACCTGGCCCTGCTTTTGAAGTTCTGCAGGATAACGAGTCCTTTGGGGATGGAGAGAGTGGTTAAGAACACTGGCTGCTTTTCCATAAGACAAGATTCAGTGCCCAGCACCCGTATGGCCACTTACAACCATCGGTAACTGCAGTCCTAGGGGATCCAACACCCTCTTCTGGCCCCTGCAGGCACACATGTGGTGTACAGATGTACATGCAGACAAAACACATATAGGCATTAGAAAATAAAAAGGGAACCAGTCCTTTAGTTCCTGGGCCTGTGGAGGATAGTTAAGGTCCACACTGTGGCAGGCGGTCACCATGACAGGATAGCAATGTGTTGATTGAAAGCCACTTAACAGACTCAGCTGGAAGACACACAATCCCCTGCAAAGGCAGAGAAGACATACACTGTTCACCAGAACACTAGGAAATCACAGGTGGGAGGAATAGCATGCTGTGTAGCATAGCTAGAGGGTGGGGACATGTGGGAAAAAGGGGGTCTAGAATTGGAAACCAGTGTGAGCTGTGTGGTGGGCGGCTGTGAATGCTGAGGCTACCACATAAGGTAAGGTTCGAATGTGGGGGGGGAGAGTTGTCGTGTTATTGATAACGACTGCATCTATCTTTTAGGATAGTGACGAGAATTAAATTAGCTTGAACACTCAATTTTATTATTAGCTTTAAGTCACTAGAGGGTTCCCACAGGATATTGGAGGCAGCAGGTGGATCATGTGACATGATGGAGGTCGTTGAAGGCCTTGCATGTAACTTTTCCAATTTGAATATATAATCTACATTTAACTCGGCCCAAGTGCTCCCGACTGGGAAATTTCATGTGTGTTTGGTTACTCATAACTGTCTACAGAAATATGGGTGAGCACTGTGGGTTTTAGACTTGAGCCGGAATCCTAGTCCCTCTGCTTATTAGCTATGTGGGCTTGGGCAAGTTATTTTTCTTGCTCTTAGTTTCCTCATTTGTAAATTGGTAACTGAATTATGGACAGCTCTCAAAGGCTCTTGATAGGTTTGCCCATTCCCCTGCGGCAGTTAAGTAGAGTGAGTGTTTGGGAGCTGGGGCAGTAGCTCAGTCAGTAGAGGTCTTGCCTAATGTACATGGACCCCTGAGTTCATCCCTGACACTGCAGAATCCGTAATCTAACCTGTAATCCTGGCACTCGGGAGGTGGAGACTGGGCACCAGAAGTTCAAGGCCAGCCTCAGCTATATAGAGAGTTTGAGGCCAGTTGGACTAGAGAGGCTGTCTCGGGGGGAAAAATAGAGTGAACATTTTGACATTTTGAACTCTCAACTCTGGGCAGTGTTAAACACAGTCGTATACTATTCCATTCTATCTTTTTTTTTTTTTTTTTTTTGGTTTTTTGAGAGTGTTTCTCTGTGTAGCTTTGGAGTCTAACCCGGCACTCACTCTGGAGACCAGGCTGGCTTGGAACTCATAGAGACCCGCCTGCCTCTGCCTCCCGAGTGCTGGGATTAAAGGCGTGCGCCACCAACGCTTGGCCTCCATTCTGTCTTGAATTGGAATTTTTATTATGAAGTCTTCCATTTGTTCAGAAAATTAGAAAACCCATGTGTATATACTTTCAGTAATAGGGGAAGCCTCTGTGTAACTGATACCCAGATGGGAGGAGTAAAATGTTCTCAGGACTTCAGATACCTGTGTGGTCCTCTTGACTCACGTTCCTTACCCTGACTGTGGGCACTATTCCCTGCTTTTCTGAGTTTCTCACCCACATATGCAGTCCAATATCCCATTGTTTGGATACTTGCTTCTGTGCCTCCTGCATAGACTATTTTGAGTTATATGGAATGTGTTGTGGACTCAGCATGAGTCCTTTGTGGCTTTGTGAAGTGTAAAATCCTCCAGCATATAGTCCCCTGTAAGGTAGTTCTTTGGATTGCCATTGTGAGTTTTCCCATGCTACTGTGTGCCCTGCCTGGTTTATTTAACTTCACTGTTGTATACTATTCCACTGTATGTTTGCATCAGAGCTCACCCTGTCGAATACTGTTTCTAGCCTTGCAATTGTGCGCGGTTCTGCTGTAAATATCTTGACCTTCTCTCCAAGCTCCAAGTCTCTGTGTGGGATAGCAGGGGCATGGAGTCTACAGGATGTTGGCTGATGACACTGTCTGCACTTTCATGCCCTTTCTCCTGATGGCTCCTTTGCTGGTGTCCCTTCCAGCCCTGAAATGTTGAGGCCCCTCAGTGCTTTCTGTTTCTCTGCTCTGATTAGGAGTCTTGTTCCTCTTTTAGGTCAGACTTCTGTTTTGGATGCTCACCTGTGTATTCAAATGCTCGCTTAGCACTCCTGCTTGGATTGCCCAAGTTCAGACTCATGATTTTTACCATCCTCTAGCGTCTCTTAATCTGGTTTTTTAGTTGTCCCCTCCCACCCTTCCTCCTTCTTTTCTTTCAGTTTTTTTTTTTTTTTTTTTTTTTTTTTTTTTTTTTTTTTTTGGGACAGTGTCTGATGTAGCCCAGGCTGGTCTCAATGTAGCTGAGACTTTGTATTCCTGCCTTCACCTCCTACTTTCTGGGATTACATGTATGTACCACCATGCTCAGCTTGGTTTTACATATCTCAGTAGATGTTTCTGCTATTTAAGCAGAAATTTATAGATAGTTCTGGTTCCTGCCCCATCTTCATCACCAGATTTTTGTTTACTTTGCCTCCTAAATTATCATCTGGCTCCTGCCATTCTTAACTAGCTCACCTTCTGCCTCTTGCCTAGAATACCACAGTGGCCTTCATCTCGTTTATCTGAACCCGGCTTTGACCGTCTCCCACTTATCCTTCTGGCTGTAGATGTAAGGATAAACACAAAAGCACACCCGTGTTTCGGCACTCCCTTCAGAGCTTCTCACTGCTGCCAGAATGCAGGCAAGGTCTGTATGACTTGTCCTCAGCCCATGTCACAGGCTGGCTCAGGCCTGCAGGCTCCTGACCTTCTTTTCTTGGTCCGACTTTCAGCTTCCGTTCTTTCCGCCCTTCCTCTCCTCTTCCATATGTTGTCCTCTTTCCTTCCTTCTATTTAAATTTTGCCACCACTCATTTGATAGGTCAGGGCTCTATTAATTTTTAAAATAAATTTTTATTTAAACAATTTAAAAAATATTTTTGAGATTAGAATCTTAATTTCATCATTTCCCGATTCCCTTTTCTCCCTCCTAACTCTCACGTAACCCTTCACTTGCTCGCTTTCAAATCTGTTTTTATTTTTATTTTATCTTCATGGCTGTTTTGACCGTTTTTATATGTATGCCATGTGTGTGACTGGTGCCCACAGACGCAGAAGAGAGGGTAGTATCTCTTGGAACTGGAGTTACAGATGGCTGTGATCCTCCATGTGGGTGCTAGGAATTAAACTTGGGTCCTGTGGAGAGCAGCCAGTGCTCTTAACCCCTGAGCCGTCTCTCCAGGCCGCCAAGAAGTACTTTATATATGTTCTCACTTTGTCTCCCAGTTCTCTGCTAACAAGCATCTCCTTTTTACAGTTGGGGAAACCGAGGCACAGAGAGGCTAAGAAACTTGCTCAGGGATCTGGAGGGATGGCCCAGAACACTTAGTGCTCTTTCAGAGGACCAGTGCCCTTGTTGGGTGGTGCACAGTCACCAGTAACCTCAGCTCTAGGGGATATAAGGCCCCCTTCTGGTCTCTGTGGCCACCCACACTCATGTCATTCATATATATATATATGAAGAAATTTGGCAGCTTGCCGAGCTAGTAGGGCCAGGATCCGTGCTTTAAATATGGCTGTTTCTTCCCAAAGCCCATTCTTAGAACCACAGAGCTGCAGCATCGGAGACGAACTGGCATGATCAGCTCAGGCGGTGCGGTATATGAACAGTCTTTAATTGGCATGCTGGTGTGGCCTAGAGAGAAGAGGGAAGGGTTAGTCACCGGAAGTGGGTTTTGAGGGGTTTTTGAGGGGGAAGTGTGAGTCAAGGCTTCCAGCAGGTGGCAGGCAAGAGACAAAGTGGGATCTACTGACCGAGCAGATTTTAGAGCGAACTTCTCTTGTTTTCGTGTCTGCTAGATTGTTTTGTGCCAGAATAACATCCGCAATCAGGCTCACATGAGCAGAGTCGTCACCCACGAGCTCATCCACGCGTTCGATCATTGTCGGGCTCATGTCCACTGGTTTACTGATATCAGACATTTGGCGTGCTCGGAGGTGAGTCTCATTGTAGAACATATGTTTTCTCCAGAGCGCTTTATTCAGATGCAGCTGTTTAAGCATATTCCTCTTTGTAGACTTGTTGTAAGTGTTATCTTCAAGACCTAATAACATGTGGCTGGAGAGATGGCTCAGAGGTTAAGAGCACTGGTTGCTCTTCCAGAGGTCCTGAGTTCAATTTCCAGCAACCACATGGTGGCTCACAACCATCTTAAAAAAAAAAATCTGGTGCCCTCTTCTGGTGTGCAGGCAAACGTGCAGGAAGAACACTATATGCTACAAATAAATAAATTCTTAAAAAAAAAAGCCTAATAATAGTATTGGCTGGATTAAATCATAATAAGCTACATCTCTGTGGTACACCGAGGGTCATGCCCATATGATTTAACAAAATTATTCATTATTATTGTTTTGGGATTTGAATCCAAGGCCTCTTGCGATAGTCAAGCTGAGCTTACCCTCCCAGCCTTGGGTTTGCTTTTGCGGTGCGGGGGGGAAAGCCCTGAGCATAGCGCATGCTAGGTAAGCAATCCGCCACTTCCTTAAGTGCCCAGCCCTTCCGGATTCTTGTTTAATCTTCACATCCGTCCAATTATGATCCTTGTCTGCTAGATGTGCAGAGTGAAAGTTGTTTGGATTCTAGAGTTAGTGGCAGAGTCGGGGTTACCAGGGTTCATAACCAGCTTGCTGTGTCTCATAGGCAGTCATTGTTTGCCCTGGAGTAAAACATTTAGCCTCAAAAGTACAACATAAAAAGATGCTTGCCATTAGTAATTTTGGGTTGCTCTTGGAAATCAATATGCTCCACATTCCATACTTGAATTTCAGCATTTGAAGAGTACATTATAATGAGAGATTAAGCAGTTAACAAATCTCTCAACTGCTGAGCCATCTCTCCAGCCCCCAACTTAACAAATCTCAAGCATGCACTTTAATGTAGACTGTTTCCTCCTTCCCTTGATATAAATAATGTGCCCTCACTGCATCTAACTAAAACTCATTATTTGGAGGGAAGATTAAACCTGGGTTCTTAAGTAGGCGTCTCTCTCCGGTGTTATGAGCCTAATGCCTGTTAGCTAACGTGTTCAGTAACTTGAGCCCACAATGGAATGCCGCTGTGTTATTGTAGAGGTAACAAGAAGCGGACCATTCTCTTGGCAGTGAATTACCAAAAATGTGACTAAAGGCTGTGCCATATATGGGGGTAGTTCTGTTAGACCCCCGGAAAACTCAAGTATCCAGGGTCCCAGGCTACGTTCTCGGTCACCCCAATCACCAGGCGGATTCGAGAGCTTGCTGCAAACTGCACGAGGCTTTATTGTAATTTAACGAGCTAACCCCATGTTAGCTCGGGTCTTTCACCCACCGGCCATGGCGGATGGCTAGCAAAGACAGTTTGAAGCCGCTGCGCACAGATCTTTATAGGGCAGCGTAAGGGGGGTGTCTAGGGGGACGCACAGGCTCAGGATTGGTGTGCCTCCAGGCTTGGAGGGCTTGCCCTGTGTTGATTGGCCAACTGGCTGTTATGGCGCATAGGCCCTCCCAGGGTGGTTGGTATGCTCTCTACTTGATTGCTGTGTGCTTGTCTGGAAAGCACACCCAGGGTCGTAAAGCATAGCACCCCCAGCTAATTTCTGATTGGTTCCTTGTCACGAGACAGGCATCTGACTTTCTAGTGACTAACTTCTGATGGGTTCCTTGTCCCAAGGCAGGCATCTGACCTCTAAGTGACCAAGGCAGGTTTAGGGCAAGCACGTGTTCGGCTGTTATGGCTGCCGAAAGGGAAGCTGGTCCCTTCAGAGACTATAGGTAATTTTTAGAAAATTCCCTTTGGTGAGCTATTTAACTCCCCTGCCACAGTGCCCCCGATTTGTGTAGCATAATCTTGGGATTCTGCCCTTGCTAACAGATGTTTAAAGAGATGATTTAGAAGGAAGTTTCAGATGTGCTGGAGTCTCGGAAATACATGCCGAGTTTCTATTCCTTCCCAGTTTTAAATGCTGGCTGGCTGTGGATAGGCAGAGAGCCCTTTCCTGTCACTTACCCTCTGTGTTTGTGCAGATCCGAGCTGCAAGCCTCAGTGGAGACTGCTCACTTGTGAATGAAATCTTCAGGTTGCATTTTGGATTAAAGCAACACCATCAGGTAAACATACACAGAATCACTGACTCTCACGGGTGTCATGAGTGGATGCAGTGAGTAAAGAAAGGAAATACACAGGGCTGGAGAGATGGCTCAGAGATTGAGAGCACTGGCTGCTCTTCCACAGTACCCAAGTTCAATTCCTAGCACCTACAGGGCAGCTCACAGCTGTCTGTAACTTCACTTCCAGGGCTTCTAACACAGTCACAAAGATGGAAGCAAAACAACATGCAAAGAAAGGAAATACAACAACAAAAACCAGGTAGGTGGTGGTGGTACACTAATTTAATCCCAGCACTCAGGAGGCAGAGGCAGGTCTACAGAGCAAGTTCTAGGACAGCCAAGGCTATACAGAGAAACCTGTCTTGAAAAAAAACAATATGGGGCAGGAGAGATGGCTCAGATATTAAGAGCACTGACTGCTCTTCCAGAGGTCCTGAGTTCAATTCCCAGCAACCACATGGTGGCTCACAACCATCTATCATGAGATCTGATGCCCTCTTCTGGTGTACAGGCAAATATGCAGACAGAAGTTTGTATGTGTAATAAAATTAAGTATATAAATTAAAAAAAGAGAAAAACAAAACAAAATGAAGACCTACCTACATGAAGAGAATACAAACTGCCATACTGTGTAAGTTGATGGAAATTAGTTCTATTTCATAATGATGGGTCAACCATGTGACTGTCTAAGAGAGTTATGATCTTGTTCTGGGACATTTAAAATGCTTTATTTTATGTGTGTGAGTGTTTTACTTGCATGTGTGTAAGTGCACCGTGTGTGTGTGTGCATGGTGCCTATGGAGGTCAGAAGAAAGCTTTAGATCTCCTAGAAAGTGGGGTTACATGTGGTTGTGAGCCATGTGAGTACTGGGGACCAAACCTGGGTCCTCTGCAAGAATAGCCAGTGCCCTTAACTGCTGAGCCATCCCTCCATCTCCAACTCTGTATACTTTTTAATGGGGATGGGTGGAGAATATAAGTGAAACCATAGCCTGCCTCCCTTGTATGCTAATAGTCCTACAATTATATGTGTATGTACATGTATAATTGACCTCTTGCAAACTTGACACACGGCAGGCACTGTAAGGCGTAACCTTGCCTCTTTTTTGGTTCATCCCCCAAGATCTCAGATTAATAAATATCACAAAAAGGAAACATATTGCAAACCTAAAACTTGCAGTCTTCACTAGCTCAAATAATTTAAAAGTTCAGTCTTTGGTGTGTGTGTGGGTGGGAGTGGTGGGTGGTGGTGGTGCACACCTTTAATCCCAGCATTCAGGAGGCAGAGGCAGTTGGATCTCTGAGTTTGAGGTCAACCTTATCTACAGAGTGAGAGTTCCAGGACAGTTACACGGAGAAACCCTGTCTTGAAAACAAAAACAAAACCAAGAGAGTTCAGTCTCTGTAAAAATCCAAAATGTCTTTTAAAATCAATTTTTTTTTTCCTTAAAAATTCAAAGTCTCTCAACTGTGGGCTCCAATAAAATAAAAAATAAGTTAAATACTTTGTTACCTCAAGAGGCAAGAACCAGGGCATAGTCACAATCTGAACAAAGCAAAACTACACTCCGACAGTGTAAATAACTCAATGGCCAATGTCTGGGGATTCACTTACAATCTTCTGGGCTCCTCCACAGGCCTTGGGCCACTTCTCCGGCTCTGTCCTCTGCAGCACACACAGCCTGTCTTCTAGGGTCATACAGGACCCACTCACAGCTGTTGCTGTTCTTAGCGGTCCTCCCACGGTACTAACGTCTCCAAAATGCTGGGATCTTCTGCTGTAATTGGGCTGCACTTTCGCTAGTAAGCTCTTTTGGGGTGTCTCCATGCAAAGCCTTAACTTTTCTTCATGAACCCCTCAATCCTGGGCCTTCAATTGCTGCTTTGTCTGTGTCCTCTCCTGGCTTCTCACAGTGTCAATCCTCAGCTCTTCTCTGTAACTCCTTCATGCCTTCAAAACCACTACCACTGGGGTGATTCTTACACTACCAAGTTTGACTGCCAGCACAAGGTACAACCAGATACCACAGGTTCTTCACACAAATGGCCTGGTAGAGTCTTTGCTTCCCTTTGACACTTCACAAGCTGGGCCTCCATAGTCTGCACTGCTTTCAACACTCTAACTCTTACAGAATAGCTCTCTGAGCTCTCAACACTCAATGGTTCTAGCCCAAAGTTCCAAAACCCTTCAACAAACATGGTCAGGTCTGTCACAGCAATTGCCTAGTATCCTGGTACCAGTTTGTCTTACTTTTGGTTACTATGGCTGTGACGAAACACCATGACCAAAATCAAGTTGGGGAGGAAAGGGTTCATTTGGCTCACACTGCCACATTGTTGTTCATCACTGAAAAAAGTTAGGACAGGAACTCAGGCAGTTCCGGAACCTGGAGGCAGGAGGCAGGAGGCAGAGGTCATAGAGGGTGCTGGCTTACTCAGCCCGATTTCTTTTGGAACCCAGGACCATCAGACCAAGGACAGCACCTCCAAGGATGGGCTGGTCCCTCCCACTTAATCACTAATTAAGAAAATGCTCTACAGGCTTGCCTACAGCCCAGCGTCATGGAGGTGTTTTCTCAATTGAGGTTCCCTCCTTTCAGATGACTCTAACCTGTGTCAGGTTGATATAAAATTAGTGCAAACAAAAGGAGGGTTGGTGTTTGTGTTAGATGCTGGTTGGAGGGGGGAGTGTTGTTAGCCCAAATGGGAAAATTTTATTTAAATTGTATATGTATGCACAGATTTACATATACTATGGGTAATTTTTGGTAGAGAGATAGTATGATTCCTTATGACTTTTAAGGATGGTTTCACTGTTGTCTTGCCCTTTCCTTGTTTTTCTCATCTTCCCATATGAGTAAATCTGAATTGTGGTCTGTCATTGGGTCTTCTGACCCTGTGACATCTGGATTTTTTTTTTTTTTCCTTTGAGACAGGGTTTCTCTGTGTAGCTTTGGAGCCTATCCTGGCACTCGATCTGTAGACCAGGCTGGCATCAAACTCACAGAGCCTGCCTCTGCCTCCCGAGTGTTGGGATTAAAGGCGTGTACCACCAACTCCCGGCTGCTTTCTGTTCTTTGATGAGCAAGCATTTCCAGCTGAGTGCTGCTCAGGACGAAGTAAAACCAGGAAAACAGAGACTATTGGTGATTATCATAAAAATCGCTGTTTATTTTTTATTTATGCTCCTTTGAGAGTAGGTCTTGCTGTTGCTGGTTTTGTTCTGGGCTCAGGCCTTCTTCGTGCCTCAGCCTCCAACTGCTGGGAGTACAAGTGTCTGTCACCACACCAGGCCTGCAATCTTAGTTTTATGTATGCTATGTAGCCTAACCTGGCCTGGAATTCTTGGTCCAAATGCCTTTGTCTCCTGAGCATTGATTTTACAAGCATGTGCCACCATGTCTGCTTCTGGTTATCTTTTATGGGATTTTAGTTTGGAGAGGAGAGAAATAATTTTTTTTTAAAGTTTTATTTATTTATTATGTATACAGTGTTGCATGAATTGCATGAATGCCTGAAGGCCAGTAGAGGGCACCAGATCTCATTGCAGATGGTTGTGAGCCACCATATGGTTGCTGGGAATTGAATTCAGGATCTCTGGAAGAGTAAGCAGTGCTCTTAACCACTGAGCCATCTCTCCAGCCCGAGAAATAAATATTTTAAAAGCTCTCTGAGAATTGGAATGGCAGGGCCTTACATTTCTTAAAACATGTAAATTTTAGGATCAACAAATTCAAGATAATGGGTATGTTATTATCATAGCAAAACTGAGGCCTAAGCAAAGACTATGTTTAAATTTTCTTTCTGCCTAAAAATGAAGGCAGACCTTTTAAGTTTGGGTGTCTGTGAATGGTTTCCTGCTTCCTCAGGATAACCAGTAAAAAGTTAATCTGTCACTAGTCATCTGAAAAGTTATGAAAGAGGTGTGAAGAATATTTTATATATTTTTAAAAGACACATTTTATTTTTAGTCATGTGTTCATGTTGTCAGTGTTTCGATGATCAGTTGAAGAAAGAGGATCACTCCAGAATGTAATTCAGGGTTAGCCAAAGCAGGAGGGGAATCAATCTCCACAGACTGACCTCTGGTGACTTTGTAAAAGCCTCTTTTATTGTTACACAAATTGTACCTCTAGCAAGTCAATTTCTGCATACCCAAACCTCTTACCTGTAGTTATTTGAAGGAACACTTTGCCAGAACGGTTCTCAGCCTGAGACTTCCTGGTTTTCCCAGGTCCTCTGGAGACTAAGTTTTGCAAAGGCTCTGAAATTCTCAGGAAGAACTCAGATAAGAATTGCTGACTTTAAACAAAAGACAAAGCATGGGTGCTGTTACTCTGGGATTCAAGCCAGATGCAGTGGCTCTGTGGGATCCTCAATGTCTGTCTACATGAGTGTAGGTGCTTGTGGAAGCCAGAAGAGGGCATCAGATCCCCAGAGCTGGAGTTACAGGTGTTTGTGAGCTGCCCACCATGGCTGCTGGGGGAACTGAGCTTAGGTCCTTTGGAACAGCGGGCAGTTCTCTTAACCACAAGTCATCTCTCAGCCCCTCTAAATATATTTTAAATTTAATTATGCAAGATCAGCCAGGACCGGGCTGGAGAGATGGCTCAGTGGTTAAGGGCACTGACTGCTCTTCCAGAGGACCCGGGTTCAATTCCCAACACTCACCTGGCAGCTCACAACTGTCGGTAACTCCAAGATCTGACAGCCTTACACAGACATACATGCAGGCAAAACACCAATGCACATAAAATAAAAATAAATAAATTATTTAAAAAAAATCAGCCAGGACCTTGTCTATGAACTTTTTTTGTGATTTTGCAAATTGGGAATTACTGTTTGATAGACATTGGTGCTTCAGGGGATGGAATCTGGTTATGTTCCCCCAAAATAAGAAAATGGAGATTTTTTTTTTTTGTTTTTTTTTTGTTTTTTCAAGACAGGGTTTCTCTGCGTGGGTTTGGGGGCAATTCTGGCACTTGCTCTGTAGACCAGGCTGGCCTCGAACTCACAGAGATCTACCTGCCTCTGCCTCCTGAGTGCTGGGATTAAAGGCGTGTGCCACCAATGGCTGAAAATGGAGGTCTTAATTTCCTCTAAATTGTCTTATATTGAACAAACATGTTCCATGGTTTGAGAGTTATATTTACTAATTTTCTTTGAATTTTTGGAATGGTAGAAATTAATAAGAGAACAGGAAGAGAAATGAATCTTTTAAGAAATTTTTAAATTTTACATGCATTGGTGTTGTCTTGCTTGTATATGTGTCTGTGAGGGAGTCAGATCCCCTGGGACTGGAGTTACAGACAGTTGTGAGCTACTATGTGAGTGCTGGGAATTGAACCCAGGTCCTCTGGAAGAGCAGCCAGTGGTCTTCTGAGCCATCTCTCCAGCCCTGGAGAAATGAATCTTAATTTAGGTAATACGTAATGGTGTCATATGATTAAATTTTCTCAACAAAGTGAAAAACTGCACGGGTCTCCCTTTCCTTAGACTTGTGTGCGGGACAGAGCTGTTCTTTCCATCTTGGCTGTTCGGAACATCAGCAGAGAAGAGGCCCAGAAGGCCGTGGATGACGTTTTTGAGTCTTGTTTCAATGACCGTGAGCCTTTTGGCAGGATCCCACATACTAAGATGTATGCCCAGTATGCTCACCGGGACTTCCAGAACCGTCAGCGCTATTACTCCAATATATGAAGATGGTGGTCTTTCGTTTCCCTGAGGGGAAGGTGGTTCTTATGCACAAATGTATACAATGTAAATGATCCATTAGGTACTGTGATGTAGTGCAGGGGGTGAAATGTTCTCAGACACAGAATGTTTACAATGTAAATCTTTTCAGACACAGAATGTATACAGTGTAAATGTTCTCAGCACAGAATGTCTACAGTGTAAATGTTCTCTGCACAATATATACAATGTTAATGTTCTCGGGCACCAAGTGTATACAATGTAAATGATTGGTTAGGCACAGTGGATCCAGCTTGTATACAATGTAATTTATGGGCTAGATACCGTGGATCCAGAATGTATACAATGCAAATGATTGGTTAGGCATGGGATCCAGAATGTAGACAATGTAAAAAGTGCAGAAGGTGCTGGCTGGTTTTAGCATTTGACTACAAAAAATAAATAAGGCAAAAAAGGAACTCCTTGAACTGCAAGGCAAAAATTGGATCTTTATAGCTGATCATTTTAGTAAATAAGGTAAATGAATGACATTTTTGTATTTTCCATAGTATACTTATTTTTTTAATGCTTTCGTTTTCTAATTTGTAATTTTATTATATGAGATTATTTTAAATTTGATGATGAAATCTGTGAAGCATGCACCTGTGTGATGGTGGCGGGAGAGTAAAGTCAGTGTTTACAAACAATGACATGATCACATTATAGGACATTTGTCATGATTAAAATGCAAAGAATGAAAGTTGGAAATAATTCACTCAAGGTCAGTGTCATTTTCTCTGTTAATTGTGTGTGTGTTGGGGACTTTATGACTTAATTTCCTAGGGACAGTCTGATAATTTGTTATTTACTGTTCTTTTAGATTTTATGTATATGGGTGTTCTGCTGTCTGTATGTCTGTGTATTATGTGCATGCCTGGTACCTGAGGAGGCCAGAAGAGGGCCTTGGATCCCCTAGAACTGGATTTATAGATGATTATAATCCATTGTGTGGGTGCTGAGAATTGAACTCAGGTCCTTTGGAAGAGCAACCAGTGCTCTTAACTGCTGAGCCATCTCTCCAGTCCCCCTTATTAGTTTTTTTTTTTTTTTAAATCAAGGCACTATAAACAAGTTACAATGCGGGCATTGGTGGCACACGCCTTTAATCCCAACACTTGGGAGGCAGAGGCAGGCGGATCTCTGAGAGTTCGAGACCAGCCTGGTCTCCAGAGCGAGTACCAGGATAGGCTCCAAAGCCACAGAAAAACCCTGTTTCGAAAAACTAAAAACAAACAAACAAACAAACAAAAACTAAGTAGCCAAGTTATAATGCAATCTAGTTTAATTTTTATATATTTGTACCATTTTTCATGTAACGATTTTCAAATATTTTGTCAGTTTATGTATCTGAATTTTAGATACAGAAAACATCTTTCTAGCCAGTGTGGTGGTGCGCCTATAATCATAGCACCTGGGAGGTGGAGGCAGGAGGCTGAGGAATAACAGATCAGTGTTGGCTATGTAGTGAGTTCTAGACTGGCCTGGGCTACATGAGACTTCATCTCAAAAGGAAAAAGAGAACATTGCCCTCTCAGCCACACTTCAACTGATTAAGTCTAGACTGAGATGTCCTTAAGTCTGTGGGCATGGCTGTGGAGAGAATGCATGTGTTGCAAATTTTCCAACTAAAATGGAAACTATACAGTCAAATATTAGTGTACGAAGTAATGGGCTTCATAAAGACATTTTCATTTAATTGTAATATATGCTTTGACCATATTCACCCCCATAACTCTTTCCTGTCGCCTGATGCATTTCTCTTCCTACTTAGTTCTACCTCTCTCTCCCTCCCTATCTGTCTTCCTCCCCCCCCCCATACACACACATACAAAAACACACACTTTTTAGGTTCCACATATGAGAGGAAACACATTTTTATGAATCTGATGTATCTGGTTTAATTTGATGCTTCTCTGGCATCTATCCATTTTTCTAGCAAATGACCGAATTTCACCCTTTTGTGGCTCTATTACATTATCTACACCGAACCTATACCTCACCTTTTTTAACCCTTTTCCTGTGGTGACAGACTGTTGTGAGTACTGTTGCAGTGACCATGCTGTCCCAGAACTCACTATGTAGACCAGGCTGGCCTGGAACTCACAGAGATACACCTGCCTCTGCTTCCCAGTGCTGGGACTGAAGGCATGTGGCACCATGGCCAGCTATCTTTTATTTAAGATTTAATCTAATTTTATATGTATTAGCATTTGGCCTGCAAGCATCTATATGTATCATGTTCATGACTGGTGTCTGAAGAAATGAAAAAAGAGCATGGGATCCCCTGGAAATGGAGTTACAAATGGCTGTGAGCCACCATGTGGGTGTTGGAAACTAAACCCAGGTCCCCAGGAAGAGCAGTCTGCCCTCTTAACTGCTGAGTCATCCCTCCATGTTGTAGTTTTAAATTTTATGCAATCTTTCTTGCTATTCTTAAGTTGTTGGCATCTTTTCCGGGAAATCTTTGTCTGCACCTGTATTTTGAAGTGTCTCGCTGGCATCAGTTTCGGGGTTTGTATTAAAGTCTTTGATCCATTTTGATTTATTGTGATAGCTTGAATGTAATTGACCCCCATAAGCTCATAGGTAGTGGCACTATTAGGAGTGTGGCTTTGCTGCAGTAGTGTGGCCTTGTTGGAGGAAGTGTGTCACTGTGGAGGTGGGCTTTGAGGTTTCACATATGCTCAAGCCATGCCCAGTGTCCCAGACTACTTTCTGTTACCTGCAGGTCAAGATGTAGGACTCTTAGCTCCTTCTCCAGCACCATGTCTGCCTGCATGCTACCACAGAACCATGATGATAATGGACTAAACTTCTGAAAATGTAAAAATGTTTCCCTTTATAAGATGTGTTGTGGTCATGGTGTCTCTTCACAGCAATAGAAACCGTAAGACAGTTATTTTTACATTTTATTTATTATTTGTTTATTGTGTGTGTGTACACTTGTGTGCATATGTGGCTTTCATGTGTGTCATGGTTTGTGGGTGGAGGACAGAGGAAAACTTGTGGGAGTTGGTTTTTTCTTCCATAGTGTGGATCCTCAGGATCAAACCCAGGTCATCAGGCTTGGTGGCAGGCACCTTGGAGCAGTGAGCCATCTCAACAGCCTTGAGTTGATTTTTGTACAGGGTGAGATACATCAATTTCTCTCCTATATGTGGAAATCTAGCATTCCTAATCTTTTCCACAGTGTATGAATAGAACTGAAAAAAGAGAAATGCTGGGGTGGTGAGTAAAAACTTGAAAAAAAGATGCAGGGTGTTGGTGTCACACGCCTTTAATCCCAGCACTGGGTGGCAGAGGCAGGGGGATCTCTTTGAGCTTGAGGCCTGCCTGGTCTACAAAAACTACACAGAGAAACCCTGTCTTGAAAAACCAGAAACCAAAACCAAAACTTGAAAAAAGAAGCTGAAATGGTGAAAATTGATATATATTATCATATATTCAAATCTAGGTTAGCATTGTGACGATATGGTCCTCTTTGACACAAAAATCCATTGATGACATACAATTTTGAAAAAAGGAATAGTAAATGAGTACATTTAGCATCTTAGGTGGTAAAATGTGGATATGTACAAATCTGGAAAAATGGATGCCGTGGAGAGCTTGTCTTAGTGTCTATTGCTGTGAATAGACACCATGACCACCACAACTCTTACAAGGAAAGCATTTGATTGGGGCTGGCTTTAATCCTTTCAAATAGTGCCACTCCCCATTGAACAAGCATCCAAATCTATGAGCCTATGAGGGCAGTTCTTACTCAAACCACCACATGGCCCCATAGGCTTGTAACTGTATATAATGGAAAAATGCATTCAGTTCAACTTCAAAGGTCCCCATGGTCTATAATTGTCTCAACACTTTCTAAGTGTTAAAGTATCATTAGAGACTCCTGGCACACTCACACTCTCTCTCTCTCTCTCTCTCTCTCTCTCTCTCTCTTTCTCCCCCCCACGTCTCTCTCCCCCACATCTCTCTCCCCCATTATATAGGGTTTCTCTGTAACAGCTCTGACTGTCCTGGAACTAGCTCTATAGACCAGTCTGACCTCGAACTCAGAGATCCACCTGCCTCTGCCTCCCGAGTGCTAAGATTAAAGACATGTGCCACCACCGCCCAGCTCATGGCAATCTCTTAACTGTAACCCCTGTAAAATCACAATAAAAAACCAGATCACATACTTCCAACATAATGTCATAGTATATACATTACTATTGCAAAAGGGAGGGAAAGGAGCATGGTGAAGGAATACTTTACCAGGTGGCTCATGGTTTGTTACTTCATTTTCTACACACCCTGCTTCCTTCAGGACTCCACCTTTCTTCCCAGCATTCTCTCTGTTCCAAAAATCCTGCCTGGCTACTGGCCACTCAGCTTTATTACCAATGAGTGTTACACATTTACAGTGTACAAAGATTGTTCCACAGCAGGAGGTGGTGGCTGAGGAGGCGGGAATAACAGCGGCTTGAGGTACAGTAGTTCCTTTGCCATCACTGATATATGAAATAGATGCTTAAGGCAACAATAGTACACTATCAGTTCTTATGACTATTTCTGGGGATTTCAAGTGTGATGCGACACTTACCACTTTTAGAAATTCTTCCTCTGAAACATTGTTGGAAGGTGTTGGAAGATTCACGGTGCTTACATTCTCATTAAGATGTTAACGTATGAGTCAAATTGATGGGTTTTGAACCTGAAAGATCAAATAGTTCATTTAATCATATTAACCAAATTGGCTTTAAACCAGCGGAATTATTTGTGGTGCTTAAGAAGTCATTATTCTCCAGCCGAGTGGATAAATGGGTCACCTTGGGATTTGCAGCTGGAGTTTTCTTTTATGACAATGTACTGGGAACTGAGTCATTTGTCCCAAAGAGAGTCAGCTAAGGTTCATCAGACCTGTCTTGATTAATTTCTCAAAACCACATGAGGAGATTTGCCAATTACACTTTCCAGGATTGGTTTCATCAGCCCCACATGGTTGTACAATCCGCACAGGTTGCTACCTGGAGGTTGACTGATCAAAATAGTTATGAAATGCATGACGGAAAATGATCTGTGAACTGACTTCTAATAGGACTTCAGCTTATGTGGTTTAGATGGCTGCAACTTTGAGATGCAGGATATAGAATTATCTCATGCAAATTCTGGCACCATTTCTGAAGAAGCAGGCAAGGAGCAGACATTAACTCTTTCTCTTTTTTGCTAGTAGAAGATAGAGTGTCAGAAAGCATCCAAGCAACTGGAGTCAACAGTGAATCCAAGGCAGAACTATCAAGGCTTTCTATCTTTTCTGTTTCCATCCTCCATTTCTACAGCAGTTAGCACAGTATGGTTGAGATACGCACGTTCAGTCCACAAATGTTATAACTCTGCATTACAACAAATTGCTTTTTTTTTTTTTTTGTCCAAGTGGAACCCTTGCCCCCAACAGCATCAATATCAACCGACAGCTAGTTAGAAATGCTCAAATCCCACTCAGTCAGCATTCACACACACAGAGACATCAGAATTGAGAAGCATTCCTTGAAGGACCTTGACAGCCCCGAGAGAGTGGCTGTCATATCCACCCCCTTACTTTTGAGCACAGGATTCTGGCCTCAGGGATCTTATGTAATTGGTTAACAGATGGGCTGGACATCCTAGAGTTTTAAGGCTCCCATATGTGATTTAGGTGTACAGGATTAAAAGGCATGCTTTCTGGGGGTATACCTCCA